TAAATTTTTGCCCAAAGAACCAAGATGAGAATTTGACTCTAAGTATGGTAGATCAAGAGTTTTGTATAGTTGGCGGTGGTTTGTACAGAGAGAGAAGATAAAAGAGTTTTAGAGAGAGAGTTGAAAGAAATGAGGGAAAGAAAGAGAAAGAAAATATTAGGTTGTTTTTGGTTTGATTCCCAAACTATGATTCTACACTAATAATCAACTCTCTATTTGATTACAGTTTTCAAATTGAGATTTCAAATCAATTTCAAAATACATTTTGAAAACATGTTTGATAAACCAGAGAGTTTTTGAATTTTTGGTTTACCCAGTCGTCAATCCGGACATCCACCTAGACAGGTTTTGAATTTTTTGGACTACCCGGTCATCCCCTCAGACATCCTCCCGAATGTCCGGTCAGTTGACCGGAATACTGTTTTTTTTTTATTTAGCAATTGGCACCTATTATCTGAAAATATATATATATATATATATATTTGTTTTTGATATTTTTTAAATATAAAAAATATTTTTTTGAGACCAAAATAACAAATTATTTGGACATTTATTTAAAATTAACAATAAAAATTAGTTTGTCACAGTAGTTTTTTAAAAATAAAAAAAACATTTTTAAACAAAACAATTAAAAAAAATTTCACCCGAATATGCAATCAAAAGTAATTTTAAAGCACTAGCTGAATATTTTTGTTAACAAATAATAATATATTTTTTAATATTTTAAATAAAAAATGTTTCAAAATTTTTTAAATAAAAAAATATTTTTTTCAATAATTTTTTTTGAATTAAATTTTAAAAAAAGTTTGGTTATGAGTTTTGAATAAAACTTTTAATAGAGTTTTGAGTTGTGTATTAGGTTATGAGTTATGAGTTATAAGTTTTTGAATTAAGTTTAAAAAACTCTTTTCAAAACTCATCATCAAATAACTTTTTAGAAACTCAACATTCATTTCAAAAATTCAACACTCAATTCAAAATTCAATTCTAAACTCTTTTCAAAACTCAAAACCAAACAAATTTTCTTTTTTCATATCATAATTCCAAAACTCACAAACTCAAGATACAACTCCATACTCAAATCATAATTCTAAACACAAACCAAATGCTACCTTAGATTTTGAGGAGAAAATGTTCAAAAATAGAGGTCTGTAGCCCATGTCCATTGTACAGAGCTTCTGCCCGTAAATATGGATTTGTCCAACAAAAAATGCTCTCTTTCATAATTTGCTTGTGCGGAACATATATTTCTCGCGTGTGGATTGACCTAAACAACTTTTACATAGTAAAATTCAAACAAGCGTAGCTTCCTCTTTTGGAGTTAGAATTTGGTCAATTTTGCTTTTAAGTTGAAGCCCTGAAAGTAAGCTTTCTAATGGTTCTAGACTCATATCAAGATTCAAAGTGTGGAGATAGAAAAGCGTAAAAGAGTGAAAACTACTAAAAAATAAATATTTGAATTTCGGGTTTTTGAACCAATCTTGTCCAACCATCATGTTAACTTATAAATCAAGACTCTAAACATCAAGAAAGAGGTCCCTATTATAATAACAAAAAGGTCAAATGCAAACCCATCAATTCTAAAAGTTCGAAAATAATACAAGTATAAGGTAACGGGTACAAATTAATATAAACAAGTCGGGTTTAAGATCCGAGGCACTATAGGTGGGCAAAGGAGTTGAGGGTAGAGAGGTGTGGAGGGTGGTGATAAAGGTGTTGGGGGTAGGTGGATGGGTGATTAACAACTAGAGAGGGGTAAGGAAGGGTTGGCCAATAGTTGCAAATAGTGGAAGAGAGAAGAAAAAGAGAAAAAAAAAACATTCTAGTAATTACAACCACAAATTCCATGCTTTTGCAATTATGATTCTCTATTAATTTGTAAATAATTGACCAAAATCACTTTGGTTGCTTTGGAAAGTTAGCTAAAAATTGAATTTTTGATTTTTTAACTTTTTTTAAAAGAAACATGTTAAAAAGTAGAGAAGTGATGTGATTCAAAAAAGTCAAAAAATAAAAAAATTGACTTTGAACTAACTTGCAAAATAGACCGATTGTCCCTAAAATTTGATTGTCTTTACGAAGATTGAGTGACCATACCATCATAGAGTATACATATATATATATATCTACATAATATAACATAATGTTTTTTGAATTTATGTATATTTTTGTCCTACATACAAAGTTAATGGTCAAATTTTTTTGGCCCACAATATGTTTCCCGCCTATTTCTACTCTTTGTTCTCATCATTTATCATTCCACTACTCTCTCTCTCTCTCTCTCTCCTCTACCTCTCATCACTCTGTCCTCTACCTCTCTTCTCGGCACTATTGCTCTCAGCCAGGAGCACGCTATCGACAAAACCCTTTCTCCCTTTTTATGTCCTCTCCTTCTCCCTCTTCTGCCGCCGCAGGAAGCAACATCTCTACCACCTACATCAACTCTCCACTGCCACGCCGCTTTTACACTGCGATCTCCATCAATAGCAACTCCTTATCTCTTCTCTCTCTCAGTTCTCAAATCTTCGCTTCGATCTTAACCGGCAGCAGTGCCTCTGTCCTTCACCGTCGAGAGTTTGATGAGTTTCTGAAATGGTTTTATGGTTTTGAAATGGGTTTCCATTTTGGGTAAACTACCAATAGGTCTTAATAGTTGAATTTAATTCCCATCAAGTCCTATTGAAAATAAGTCTTGGTAAATTTGTTGCTAAAAATAATGTTTGTGACAATTTATTACATACGTCGTTAAAAATTGACAATTAATGACTTTTTTTGTCATGATTTTTATAAATTGTCGCTAAAACTTACAATTAGTGACTTTATTTATGACAAATTTTTCCCATAAGACCTATTAGATAATAATTCCACTTATTAGGACCTACATGTAAGTACCCCTTTCATTTTTAAATGTGTTTTGATTTGAGAAAGGTTCATTGTGTTGGGTTTGTGTGATTTTTTATTTCTGTTGATTAGGTATGTGTTTGGATTTGTGTTTCTAAGATTTTGGTTTGGGTTTGTGATTTTTAATATATTTTAATGAATGTTCTGGGTTAATGATCATTAATTAAGTTATGACTCCCATTCGAAGCTCAAACTTGAGCAACAATGGAGTTCAAAGAGGAAGAGAGAGATGTAGAGGAAAAAAAAGAGACAAAGCTCTCTACTCTAAAAAGAACAAAAGCCAAAAGACATAGAAGAAGAAGAAATGAAAAAGTAGGCAAAGGGAGTGGGGGCAACCCACGTGGGTCTGCTTTCCTTTCCTAAGTATTCTCACTCAATCCCACCTCATAAATTAATATACAATATATTGTATATTATCTCAAAACTTTATAATATAAATTTATTCTCATATATTGTAATTGAAAAAAGGTGTTTCTTGTATATTAAATTGATAATTTATTTTTATATAAGATTGGATTGGGTACGAATTAATCTATTTAAATAATTGTTCATTGCATACCATTTGGAAATGTTTATTAAAAAAATATAAAAAATCAAGCAGCTTTGGTTATTCAGAGACCTAATATCATTAAAAATGTTTATATTTATTGAGAAACGTAACGTTATTCAAAAAAAAAAAAAATTGGTTCTGTTAAAAAATAGTGGTTTGAAATTTTTTTTTTTTCTTTTGATAAATTTGAATTCAAAATTTAAATTAGGTTGTTTTAAAAAAAATAGTGATAAAAAAAGTGGTTTAAGTTTCACTATGGAATTTGAAATATTGGCAAGTGAGAATGAGAGAGAAGAGAGATAATGAGAGTGATGCAATTAAGAGTTATTTTGAAAAGTTAGTTAAAAGTTAATTTTTTAATTTTTTGTAAAAACATATATAAAAAAATAAAAAAATAATATGATCTAAAATAGATTAAAAATTATAAAACAACTTTTAATTATCTTTTCAAAATAGGCGCAAGTTGTTTGATATTTGATATTTGATTATGTTATATAGTTGGTGTATGCATCGGTCAATGAGAAAGAATATTAAATAATGATGTGATTAAGTCATCTCTCTCCTCTCCTCTCCTCTCCTCTCCTCATCCTTCCTCTCTCTCTCTCTCTCCTTCCTTTGTCTTCTTCTCTCTCCTCAAGCCTGTTCTCTTCTTTTCTTCCTTTTCAAATTTGAAAAGTGTTAGATTAGGAATCTCAAATAATTTATTAAATTTTTTATATAAGTGTGAAATCCATACACATGAATTTGTTTAAGTCTTATATTTATATAAAAAGTTTAATAAAAAATTTAATAAATTATTCGAAGTATATAATATTTTTCATTTCTAAATTCTCTTTTGCCTCCACTTTCTCTTTTAAAAAACGAATAATGTGGTGAGAGTAAGTCTCGTTTGTCGAGATGGGTCAAAATTGTTTCACCCATAAAGTTTATGATATGTTAGTAGCAGTTAACCCATGCAATACACATTATAAAATATAAGTATATATTTTGAAAATCATACTTTATAAATTTCATTTGAATTATCTTTGTGTCTATCAATATGTATCTACTTATGAATTTATTATAAAAAGTAGGGTTATTCTACAATACACATTTTTCTTTGGTGTGTGACATATACAAGTTATGATATTTGTGTTAGTCATAACTAAAAAAAACTCAATAAGTTATAATCCAATACTACTTAAGAAATAACGAAAGACCTTTTTGGTCATAACCAAAACAACAATCACAACTAACATTACAATAAGTGATAACCAAGTCAACCAAAATTATTTGAGCTTTTACTTGTGAGTTTTGATTTAATTTTAATTTATTTGAGTTAGGTCGTATTGAAATATGATGTGCAAAGTATAAATAGTTAAATTATATATATATTTTTATAAATATTTTTATAGAGAAAAATAGAGTAAGACTTTTTTTTGATAAATAAAGGACTGGCTCACAACTTCCCATTTATTTATTTATTTTATCAGCACGCATGTAGATAGTTATTGTCGCCAATAGTACAATATTATTTATTTATTTGAAGTATTGCTTTGTTTGTTATCAGACATGGCTATGGCTTTCTGTGATGCTCTGATTTCCATTGGAGGAAAAGTTGTTGAATTATTGGTGGAGCCAGTTGGGCGTCAATTCGATTATGTCTTCTATCGAGTGAAATACATTGAAGAGCTACGAAAGCAAGTTCAAAATTTAGAGGCTCAGAGAAAAGATGTGCTCGACTCCATCGATGCAGCTAAAAGGAACAGAGAAGAAATTCTAGAAAGTGTCAAGAATTGGATTGACAAAGTTAATGGGTTCATTCTTGAGGCTAAAGAGTTTCTAGAAGGTGGTACCAATGTGAACCAGAAATGTTTCAATGGGTGGTTTCCTGATTTGGTCACACGACGCCGGCTAGGTAAGGCAGCAAAAAATAAAGCAGAGGAGGCTAAAGAGCTAGGAAAAGAAGGCACATTCAATAACAACATATCCAAACCTGTACCTCCCTTGGGGATAGAGTCCATACCCTCTGAACAGCTCGTGCCTTATGCTTCTAGAGATTTGGCAATGACGAATGTAATGGAGGCACTAAGGGATGACAATATCAACTTCATTGGAATACATGGTATTGGAGGCGTTGGAAAGACAACTTTGGTCACAGAAATTGGTAAAAAAGCTAAATCTGATAAGCTTTTTGACGATGCTGTGATGGCTGTAGTGTCTCAGAACCCAGACATTAAAAAAATTCAAGGTCAAATAGCTAGCTGGTTGGGTTTCACCGAATTAAATAATAAAGAAAATGAAATTGAAAGAGCAACCATGCTGTGTGCAAAACTCAAGGATGTGAAGAAGATCCTTGTTATATTGGATGATGTTTGGGCCAAACTTAATTTGGCAGATGTGGGCATTCCATTTGGCAATGATCACCCGGGTTGCAAAATCGTAATCACAACACGGCGTGAGCAAGTATGCAGAACCATGGGACATGAATGGGAGAAAACAAAGATAGTCTGGCTTGATGTTTTACCTGAACAAGATTCATGGGACTTATTCGGAAAGAACGTTGGCGACGTTGTTGCCTCTTCCGCGTTGAATGATGTGGCCAGAGAGGTTTGTAAAGAATGTGGAGGGCTTCCCATAGCAGTAGTTACGGTTGCAAAGGCAATGAAAGGTAAATCTAACCTTGAAGAATGGAAAAATGCAGCTCAAGAATTAAAAAAATCAGTGCCAACAAACATTGAAGGTGTTGATCAACTAGTGTACAAAAGTCTTAGGTTGAGCTATGATTACCTGCAAGATGAGGAAGCCAAGGCTTGCTTCTTGCTTTGTTCTCTGTTTCCGGAGGATCATGACATCTTAGTAGAAGACTTGGTGCGATATGGGATGGGGTTGAGATTATTCAAAAATGTTGATACAGTGCAAGAAGTCAGGGGCAGAGCAAATTCAGTGATCAGCAATCTCATAAATTCCTGTTTGTTATTAGCTAGTGATGAACAAGATTGCATTAAAATGCATGATGTTGTACGTGATGTTGCCATATTTATTGGATCCAAAAAGCACTTTGTAAGAGCTGGTTGCAATTTGAAAGATTGGCCAAATATGGATAGTTTGGATCAATACACTGGCTTATCGTTGATGGGAAATCAAATCAGTAACCTTCCTGAGGTCTTGGAATGTCCAAAGCTCCAAATATTACTATTACAATACAATGAAAATGAATGGTCATGTTCACATGAATTCTTTTCAAGGATGAAAGCACTGAGTGTTTTAGATTTGAGCCAACTTGGCCACAATTTTGACAATTTAATTCGTAGTCCTGATGCTTTCAATAACCAAATGTGTCTTCGAACATTAGTTCTTGACGGAATTAAGTTTGGGGACACTAAATTTCTTGGACAGTTAAAGACGCTTGAAGTCCTTAGCCTCAGGCGTGCCTTCTTTTCTGAGGCACCAAATGCTATAAGGGAGTTAACTAATCTAAGGTTGTTGGACATGACTGAAAGCCATCATGAATTTCCGATTCCGGCCACAATGGTATTGCCTTTATTCCATTTGGAGGAGTTGTACTTGTTTGGCATCACATCTTCGAGTATCGGATACCCTGCAGTGGAAGTAGTTGCTGCACTAAGATCTTTGCCTCGCCTAAAAATGCTAACCATTTCCATACCTGACATTGCGGATATACCCAAGGACTTTGTTTTTCCTGAGCTGGAAAGTTTTATTATTTTTATTGGAAAATCGAGGTGGGGGGTGAGTGTTGAAGGTTACTCCCGAAATTATTTGAATCTTGCAAATTTGGTTGGAACCATGATTAATTGGAGTAAATGGCTAAAGATGGTGTTGAAGAGAGTTACACGTCTGAGGATTGAAGATTGTTCTGAATTGGAATACTTGATCAACACAGAGGAATGGGGGATTTCATCACAGGCACAACCACGTGATCTGCAATTCCTCTTCAACCTGGAAGAATTGGAACTCTCTTATTTGCCTATTTTCAAAGGGATATGCGCAGCAAGTGCACTTACTACTTCCAGCTGGGTGGGCTTCCTAAAGCTCAGAAGCTTGGATGTGTACAGCTGTCCTTCACTATCAACTGTTCTTCTTCCATTTAGGGATGGCAATGGGGATCCTACCCTATGGGTATCCATGCATATCCAATCCAAATATATGGATTTTTCCCCATTTTTTTACCCATAGGATTAATTAAGTGGGTTTTTTTAACTATCCATAGGATATGGGTCGGGAATGGGTACCCGCCCATTTCCCCAAATGTTAGGGTTCTCATTCTCTCAGTTTCACGGTTTCTCATTCTCATTCTCACTTTCACTCTCATTCTCACATAGCAGCGAAGGCAACGATCTCCATCGGTTTCCAAAGACAACGATCTAGCGCCGGCGATCTCCGTCGGCGTTAGCACGGTGGTTCTCCGGCGTGGTGAGTTTCTCTATCTCGTTCTCTCTTTCTCTCTTTCTCTCTTGTTCTGTGTGTGTGTACAAATTCATCTATTCGTCACTTTCTCAACTTCCAAACAGAGTTGTTGCTTCACAGAGTTGTTGCTTCACAGAGTTGTTGGCACTCTTTTGCAATTGGCGAAACCTGTCGAAGAGACTTACGCATCAATCAGCAGAAAATACGGTTAGCTTCACAGAGTTGTTGCTTTGATTCATGGAAATTTTAACTCAATGTTGTTTAAAGCTATGGATTTAAATCAGTTGTGAATTCTGATGCATTTGGAAATTGTTAGCTTTGATTTCTTATGTGGAAGATGAAATTGATTTACTGTCTATTTATTTTCTTGGGACTTTGCTATGTTATGTTATGTTAAAAGGGTTTAGGGTCAAAATGGATTGCATAAAAGCTTTGTTAAAAAAATGCCAATTCCCTCTGCAAATGATCAAGATCAATACAGCTACTCCTTATGTTTAGGGTTATTTGTATGACTGGAAATTGCTGAAAATGGTTGGTTCTGATTCTGATGTCTGAGACACACACACACACACAAACGTGTTATCTTCTTGTTTCACAACTAATTTGAAGGCACCAAGTATAATGAATCCTTTAGGTTAGATTAGAAATGATGTTGTAGGATGAAATTTCTAGTTGTCTGTTGATCAGGAAATAATGTGTTAGCACTTAGCATTGGTAAATTGCTCAGACAATTCTAATATCTTCCATTTGATGTTGTTGAATTGAATGGCCTAGATATGGCATATGAACAGATTTGTAGATTTCAGATCTGGATGTTCATTAGTGAGGGAAAGAATAAAGAAACAATCAAACTAAAGTACCTAGGTTAAACCTTTGACCAAGTGTAGTACTCTTCCTTTTACCTCATGATCTACAATCAACAGTGAGTGATTCTCGATGACTGCCTCTCAATTGACTCAAGAACATAGAGATTTTTATATAAGAACTTGGATGTTCATATGTGTAGCCTATTTGGGTCTTGTTCACTGTCTTCTATGGTAATTGATTAGATTTCCATCTTGAAACTAGCTCAGCTGAGTTACTACTAAATCATAAAACAGAGCCACAACTCTTTTCTTTAGCTTAACTGTACCTGAACCAATTATGTTTAAGGCTTTATGTTGTTGTTTAAGGCTTTATGTTTTCCTAGGCCATTCTCCTAAGATCTGAAAAAATAAAATAAAATAATGAAGAAAAGAAATAATAAGATTAACCAATTATGATTTGTCCAAATTATTGTTGATGCTAAAAAGTATGTTTTCTTTAGCTTAACTGTACCTGAACCAATTATGTTTAAGGCTTTATGTTTAAGCAGCAAAAGCACAAGACAGGAAAGCTGTTGTTTAAGGCTTTATGTTTTCCTAGGCCATTCTCCTAAGATCTGAAAAAATAAAATAAAATAATGAAGAAAAGAAATAATAAGATTAACCAATTATGATTTGTCCAAATTATTGTTGATGCTAAAAAGTATGCCCAATTTAGTCCCCATTGGATGGGGGTTTGGGAGGGGTAGAGTGGGTTGTTGTTGTTCCTGTTATATCCATAGTATGTGAGATTCATAGGACTGTTCTTCTCAGTGGTTTACATAAATCATCATCTTAGTAAATAAACTAAATATATTGAAAGAGCAGCAATTATGAGCATTTGTTTTCTTAAAAATGCTTGTCTCTTTCAGATGTGAGACACTGAATTATGAGCATTTGTTTTCTTAAAAAAGCCACTGAATTGTTTTCTGGAACTAAATATCCCACAGCTAATGTTGCTTTTCCAAATTTATGTGAGATTAGGATAACTATCTCCCAATGGCTCTCTTGTTCAATTGAGGTTGTTAGATCAATGGCATCAAAAATGTTGAGCAAGTTTGACAAATATTGGGTTGTTATACATGGTCTTATAGGGGTTGCTGTTGTACTTGATCCTAGGTACAAACTTAGTGTGTTGGAGTTTTATTTTGATAAACTTTATGGAGATACAGCTGAAGAGGAAATTGCGAAGATTCGCCAACTTTGTTATGACTTGTTGCAAGAGTATCAAAGAAAACTTAGTTTAGGGACTGGTACTAATGTTGAATCTTCTACAAGTTCAAATTTTGGGGATTCAGAGGTAGTTTCAGATTATGATTTGTTTATTAGTAGAAAGCGAAGAAAAAAAGTCAACAATGTAACATCAGAGTTGGACCATTATTTAGAAGAGGATGTTGTGACAAGAACTCCCAATTTTGATGTGTTGACTTGGTGGAAATCAAATGCATCGAAGTATCCAACCTTACAGGCAATAGCTAGGGATTTTTTAGCTATTCCGGTATCTACTGTTGCTTCTGAGTCTGCATTTAGCACTAGTGGTAGGTTGGTGAGCCCGTATCGAAGTAGACTTCATCCAGATACTTTGGAAGCATTGATGTGTGCACAGAGTTGGTTATGGGCTATAGAGATGCAAGGTACTTGAATAAATCAACATATATTTATTTTTCAAATAAATATATTTTCATTGAATAGTCTCAATACTTAACTTTTTTCTTCTTATTTTTCAGGAAATTCAACATTAGAATCAGTTGGTTACGCCACTATATATGATGATATGGATGTGAATCAGAGTTGATCTTTCTTTTGCATTTCTCTTGTTGGACGGCTCAAACTTTCATAGTAGGATCTTTTTACATGTTAT